CCTTATTAATAAATATATGTAGTAACAAATAATCCATATATTATACAGTCAAAAAAATCCATATATTACTGAATAAATAACTTTTTTAAGAAGAATGTGTCGTTAAAGAAATGAAACATGGATATGCTTTTTCATTTATTATTTTTTTATATCTAATTAACATCATCTAATTTCACACGATAATTGAAGGAAAATTGGTTTAACCAATTATTTTGTAAATAGATTAACATGTCAGTAGTAGCTGCTGAATTACCCATGTACGCACCCAATGACCTGCTGAATTTTGGCTATGGTCAATGTCTTCTATAGTTCTATTACCACTCATGAGTCTTCAGATGGCTATATAATGGCATGGTTGGGAGGTTGTTTAGAGCATAGAGAATTCAATTGTTGAGAGAAGTAAATTAAAAATGTCCTGTCGGAAGAAAAGCAGGACTCGGAAGAGGACGGAGGCGGTGGAAGGTTTTTACACATGACGTAAGTTAATTATTGCACAAAATTGGGCTCTTCTATAGAGTACAGACAGGCCAATGATCCAATTTTGCATTGGATTATGTATTTTGTAATGGGCTAGATTACTTTGTGCATTTATCCATGTAGTTTGTATATATATAGATTATTTTGATGTACGGGAAAAGTAATATTACGAATTTGTAAATTATTGCGGAGTATGTTATAATTGAATGATTGTGTTTGATATTTGGTTAAAGTGTGATATTTGATTATGTGTGATATTTGGAATTATCCGAAATTTAGAACACAATAATTTAAAACAATAATAATAATAATACCGTAGCTCATTTAAAAAAGAATAATAGAATAAAGTCTAACGTTCTTAATGACAGCGGCGGACACAAAGGGGGGCAATGAGGGGCTGCCGCCCCTCCGAAAAAAAAAAATTCTAGGTATATTTACCCCGAAATTTTTAATATATATGTATTTGTATGTATATTCTTCTACTGCCGCCCCTGCTATCGGGAAATCCTGCGTCCGCCGCTGCTTAATGACTACTTTACACGTAAACATAGTCAATAATAGCATAGAAATCATAATGTGATCGAGGTTATTTAATTTGGAATTGATCTCATACCTCTCAAAATTGCTTTTAGGAGCAATTTGAGCACTTAAACTTACTTCAATTTCATTCAAATTCTCCAATATTTACTTATGTTTTCCCACGTAGTAGAACCAATTTTAAAATAATTATAATGTTTAATTATTTTTAATGCCTAACGCAGTTCTATGATGTAAGTTTTAATACACACACTTGAACTCACTAGCTAAACTATAATGATATCGAGTAGAATACTAAAATAACTTTAATTGTTGTACTTACATTCATTTTTTACACTGAAAGTACATTCATCTTTTAATAAATAAGTTTTATTTTAGCAATATTAAAAAAATTACTTTTTACTCTTTTTAAGGCTATTTTGTGTAATGAAGAAATAAACTACATATTAAAAAGTATCACAAGTTTAAAAAATTAATTAAGTTACAACTTACAAAAACTCACATGTCAACTAATGAGAAATACAGGGCCGGCCCTGGGCAAGGGCAGGCCGGGCTTGTGCCCCGGGCCCAACATTTACAAGGGCCCAGAATTATATACGGAGTATATATGGATACATATAGAGAGGACATTTCATACCAGCCTGAGGTCATTTGGTCCCCTTTATGGAGGAATTTTTTATGAAACTTTTTTAGAGTATTTAATTTTTCATCAAATGTAGATTACATTCACAAAATTTCAGTTTAAAATTCAACCGGGAAGTCAGTTAAATAAATATTGAAACATACTGCGCACTCTTTCAATAATTTATTTAACTGGCTTTCAGATTGAATTTTAATCTGAAATCTTGTGGAGATATTATAGATTTCATGAAGAATATGTTTAAATTTTTTCATGAAAAAGTTCTATCGGGAAGGGCCTCAAATGGCCTCGGTCGGACATCAGTTCCCGTTAGGCCGGCCTAATTTCAAGGTTTCATCTTTGAACTTTAATTCATTTCGCTCAGCAATCAACACTCTCCTAATTTTCTCAAAAATATCTTCTAAATATGAAATTCCAATTTAACAAGTAATTCTCTAGTTTTATTTTTTTATTTTTTTAAATACTTTTTATTTTTTTAGTTTATACTACGTATATATTAAGACTTTGATAAAAGGCTTACATTACTTTGTATGTTGAAATTTGTTTATATAAAGTTAAGATTTTGCAATATATTTATATGATCTTTTAAGGGCCTTCTTTTTTCATTCGCCCTGGGCCCATAAAATGTCAGGACCGGCCCTGGAGAAATAATCGGGACAAGTAACTAATTTTATGCTTTTTTGTTGTGTACTTTCTCAAATTACTTATGGTATTTAATATTTGAATAAAATGCTTCACTGCGCATCGCACGGGTGAAATACTAGTAGGTCACACAAATCATAAACCTTCATTTTAATATGTTACGTACGTATAAATTATAATCAAGTAATAACACAACATTAGAGATGAAATTATCCATCTAAAATTAACCTTTACTTCTTTGTAAAGTTTCTTCTACCATTCGTATAGCTGCCTAGCTGGGCCCAGGGGCGGAGCCAGACTTGAGTGCAAGGGGGCGGCCGGAAATAATCCAAGTATAAAATTATAAAATACAGTAGACAAAAAGTATTGGAAAATATGTCGCTGACGTCGAATTTTCGGTCTTAAAGTGTACTTTATAATGGACAAGTTCTAAAATTGCAAAGAAATACTCCGTATTAGTTACAAGATCAAAATTGCAAGAGAATAAAGTTGCACGTACAACTATTATATTAATGGTCATAGCCGAAAGTTACGGGATTAAAAATGCAAATCTCTCTATAAAAAATAAATATATTGTAGCAAAATGAAATAATATACCAATACTAATATTCATGTATAATATACAAATTAAAAATTAACGACATGTCAATTAAAAACTTAGTTTGTCATTTTCTCACATGATTTATATATTCATTAATAATTTCATATTAATTGATAAAATTCATTAGAGGTCCAACTTTTTATATCAAAATCATATCAGGTACTCCATATAACATTAATTGATAACAAAAAATATTAGTAGTAATTAGTAACTACTGTTTCATAATTTTGTTTGGGGAGCCACAAAATTTTTATAATAGCGCTACTTAGGAAAAAATAAAAAATAAATGGGAGGGGCCATGGCCCCCTTACACATACAAGTAGCTCCGCCCCTGACTGGGTTGGACCAATGTAGATGAAAGGTAAAAAAGCCTTCAGGCTGGCCCCTGATTCGGCCGCTCCACCACCTTCTTCATCTCATCCTTTCTCTCCTTGCACGAGTGAATTGCCTCTGCCGCGTTGTAATATGAAAAGCTGCACTTCCCAAAAGAAAACATATATATCCATAATTCTGTATCACATCAAGTGGCGGACCCAGCATTTTTTTGAAGTGGGGGCACTCCCGCATAGATGTAAATGGGTCGGGTCAGGTCGAATCGGGTGTATCGTTACTCTTTTTGTCAAGTGCGTTCTGATTATTATTTTATCTGGAAATAGATTATTCAATGCCGGCTTCAAGCAATGAACATATATGGATTATAAGTCTAATTTTGAACTTATTCAGACAATTCTAAACAATATATATGGCTTAGCATTTTGAAAGAAAGATATGATTTGGATAAAAATGATTCATCTTTGCGGCGTTTCTGATTTTACATTAGAATTTTTGTTATTTTTCATACTATAAAATGATCAAGATTTCATATCTGAACTAGAATCATGTCAAATGTCACACATTGTGCCACAAAATTTGTTGGTACTTGTCTGAAATATAATGGTATCGTGTTAAAAATGAAGTATTAATCATGTTTATGATTTCATCCTTTAATACTTAATTTAATAATATAATTCTATATATATAACATTTATCATACGTAGTATTATAGATATAGATAAAAAATTCAAATAGTCTGTTGGTTTGAAACTAATTTATCGCGAATGGACACATTTTTTCATGTATGGACCTTTATTCAAGATAAAACTTTGGACAAACATTATTTATACTAAGTAAGAAAATCATCAATGTCACTTTTCAAACAAAGTGTAGTAATTAACCATATCAAGAACATGTCTAACTATAGGGATTTGCTTCATCACAACTTTGTGGTTGTTTATAATTTATACTACTATATCTTACTACAATTGTTATGTCTTCGATTAAGTTCTATATAGCTTAGAGTTTTATGAAATAATGACAATATGATTGAAATAAAGATAGTGGACAACAATAAGACTTGATAACTAATGGTAATTTAAGTGATCATGATTGTGTTCAATCTATCAATATAGTGACTATGCATATATAGTAAGTAGTAACTATAGTACTAGTAATATTTATGTGCATTAGTTCTCCCACAATAGTATTTATGAAATAATCTCTAGTTTTATTGATCAGGTAGCGGGGACACAATTTTTATCTTTAAATACTAATCTTAAACTTCGGGCCGTTCGGGGTCAGAAGCGGGGCACTTGCCCCCCTAGGACCCCACCCCACCCCCGGGCCAGTCAGACCAAAACCTGGCCACCCTACCCCAAACTTGCACATGTAATTTAAATACTCAAAACTTTATATAAAATTTTAATTTAACATCATAGTCGAGTATTATTTCTTTCAAAAATGTAAATTTGTGATGTTAATTGTATAATGTAAAATGTTTTAGAATTCATGAAGACACAATTAACATTCTAAACTTCCATTGCAAAATAAATAATGTTACCACCAATCTATATAATTGCAATACTTTTAATTTTTTATTTTAAATTATGTAATTAACTCTATAAATTTACATTTATGAAATGAATAATACTTGACAATGGTACGAAAATAACTTTTTATAAAAAGTTTGGGATATTTAAATTACATATGTAAATTTGTGGTGTTTACCTCATAAGCTCATACCCCTTCAAAGTTTGGAATATTTTATTATTTTTCCCTATTTTTTAAAAAGATTTTTAGATAGAAACATATTTCCGTGAACTCATTTGACAAAGAAAATTTGTGTAAAAATGTGTGCAATGTACAAAGTTCATTTTACTTGAATAAGTATACTCTATATGATGACTTATGACTTGTCACATCAAAGAATAACTAATTAGCACAAATAAATTACTCTTATCATAAATAAATAAATTAATTAATTAGCATAGATCCAAGTATCCAACAACTGATCCATTGTTAATCGATCATGTCACAGCTTCGGGCCCAGTAAGTCCATTTCTTCGCAGGTTTGTCTGATGCAAAGCACGTTTTTCCTGTGGGAAAAAAAAAAAGAAATTATGAATAAACAAGTCAAGTTGATCATGTCCAAAGAAATGAATGAACCATATGAAAGCCTAAATCTGTAATCATGAATCGCAAATTACGACTTAAAGTTGATAACAATATCCAGCTTAATTGTGTCGAGTACCTAACTACCAAATCTCACTTACCATGGGCAACCTAAATTTTTTACATAGGAACTTCTTACTTATTCTTATCCCAACCACAACATATTAAAGAAGTTTAGACCAGACCAAAAAGAAAATGCATAAGATTCAAATAAAACTAGCAGATGTTCTTTTAATCCCCCATAATGACCAGAAACATTCTGACTGGATGTCAAATTTCAGGCAAGAAAATCAAATAATATCAAACATGGCCAAACGTCCATCTTTTGCTTTTTTTATGGAAAACAACGTGCACAAATAAACTGATGTGAGACGTCCTATTATAGATAACGTCTCATTTACATTTTTGAGACGTCCTATACTCCTATTTTTATTGTCATATAGTAGTACAGAGTATTTCCTAAAACAGTTATAATGAATGAACTAAGAAAAAGATGTTCTTTCTTCACTTCACTGATAACATTACCAAAATGAGTGGATCAAAATAAATATCACCTTACCATTTTTGCACAAAGTGCGTGGACATCATATTTGGAACAAAGAGATGAAATAACATTTTCATTTTGAGTGCTAAAGAAATCCTTAGGTACCCTATTGAACTTTATTACCATGCTTCCTATTTATATGTTAAAGTTGACCAATTTCGCATATTCTTTTTTTATCTATCTATTCAAAAAAAAATCAATTTTCCTCATTATATCTTTCCAATTCATCCTTGTTACACCATTCACTTTACCCTTTTCCAAATAGGAACATAGATGAGATAATAACTTATATAGGTTGCATTTTAGCCAAAGATTATAAACTTTTGATGAATTTTCCATCATACTCCGTATAAATTTTCTAAATGGGTCAACGTAGACAAAGAGTAGGAACCAATGGGACATAGGAATTTGAGAGTAAGCACCTTTTATAAGCTCAGGCTGCTCCAATGGAGAACAAATGGTTTTTATTGAGCTCACTTTCATTTTTGTTTGTGCCTTCACATCTTTCTCAACAGCCTACACAAAGCACAAATGATGAGAGAATCCAGCCAAATTTACGTATGCGATTAAAAATATCGAAGTTAGTAAGTTCACATTTTCCCCTAAAATGATAAGCTTAAAAATAACCTCTAATACAAAGCTATTACAAAGTACAAACCATGCTTGAGTGACAGATTTTTGAAACATTGGATGTATTGTACTGCAGTAACATAATATATTATGTAATGTAACTAGGTTACCGATGCCCATTTTGTTGTTTTTCAAAGTGATCGGTTTGTAATGATGTGTTGAAGCCTCAGAGGACAACGTTTATAGTAACAGATTCTTTAACTAAAAGATGAACCGTCTATTGGATTTTATTTACGGATGGTACTGCATTTTCCTAGAAAGTTTGAGACTGACAGAAACCAAGAGCAACAGGGTAAAGTGAGCCCCAACCTAAGCATCTAATGCTATGCTATGGTAAGCACCAAAGATCCATGTTTAACTAAATATGCACAACTAGATCTGCCCCCACTGACATGAGGAAGTGAGTCAGTGACACAATTGTTAGGATAGGTGTAAAGGGTAATTATGTGGTTGGATTGATTTTGTGAAGTATAAATAAACTAAGAATAAATTAGAATCACACGAATATTACGATGTATGATACGGGACAAACCTAGAGACAGACGAAAAAAGATGAGCCAAAGACAGGAGATAGGCAGTTCAAATAAACAAATCCCATGCACACAAATTCTAAGAGTCAAGCAGGCATTCAAACCTCTTCATCACACCATGGAGCCAAGACAACCTTCTTTCTGTTTAGAGCATTCACAAACTCATCCAAGGTATCCACGACCTCAACACATGCATCTCGCTTTTGTTTTGCAATGTCAAAAAGGTTTTGTTGAATATCGTCAAGCACAACTTTAACTTGATCAGCTATGCTAGCCAGCGGAATATCAGTTTTAGCACCATTGTCACGCCTCACAGCTTTTACCTAACAAATTCATTCTATGTTCTTTAATAAGCTTTCAGTGCATCAACAAACATCAAGAGACCTCCTAGGTACTATGATTTTGTGAAAGACTGCAGTGCGATCATTGACCATGTATTTAGGTGTTGGTTCATGGCAAAATATTATCATCACATCATTAAACAAAAAGTAATAATAATGTAGACACATCACCTGGTCATTGGCAAGGTCTTTGGATTGTATTTCAATCCTAAGAGGAACCCCCTTCAATTCCCAGTGGGAATATTTCCAGCAAGAAGAATAGTGATCTCTGAGATCTGCCTCCACACGAATGCCAGCTTCGACCAATTTTTTAACTGTGGCAGCACAAGCTTCAAAAATCACCTGGGAGTTGGCATCCTCCCTGGAAGACACAGGAATGACAATCACTTGGATTGGCGCAACTTTTGGTGGAAACACCAACCCCTTATCATCCCCATGTACCATTATCATCACTCCAATCTGTCGTGAGAAAAAACAAACAGAAGTGACGTGGCGATTACCTTAACCTAGACAATTCTGACAAATATGCAAGTGTATGTAACATGCAGGCAGGGTATTTTAGGGAGGGATTAAAATGGGTTACCGCTCTTGTACTGAATGCCCATGTATTCTGCCAAACCATATCCTTTTCTCCTTTCGTATTCTCAAAATATATCTCAAATGCTTTTGCAAAGTTGTTCCCCAAGCAGTGTGAGGCTGCACCTTGTATACAATGACCAGTGTTCGGAATAAAAGCCTGGTGAGACAAATGCATTCACTCTTTTATCTTACTATTTAATACACCCAACTCATGATAATGACTGACTACTGACTAGTGTAAAAAATATCCATTGTGAAATGTCTTTTCAAGGTTAAATAAAACCTCAACAGTTGTTGTATATTGTCCACCAGCAAACTTCTCAAGCTCACTTTTTTGTCCCTTGGTGACGGGAACAGCTAAATACTCTTCATATATCCTTCTATACAGTTCCGAAATATCAAGAACCTAAAAATCAAAGGCCACACACATAAAAATCAAAATAAAGATGGCATATATGTTTATCCAAGTATTTCAATTACACTCTGCACAACAGAAGTGATCAGGCCATCAAAAGTCAATTGTTTTAAGCTGTGGGTTTGAATTAATACACGCAACACAATAATCAAGATTTTTTCTCAGTTAGGCCCCAAGTGTAATTACCTCTTCATCGGCTTCCTCTTTCGTTGCAAAGGCTGTGTGCCCTTCTTGCCAAAGATATTCATGACTCCTGAAATTACAAAGCCCACTATAACATTAGAGAAAAAGAGACATAAAAAGGGGCTAGAAGTGGAGAAAGTTAGAAGATGAATAGCCCTTAGAATGAAAGCACCTTATGAAAGGAGTAGGGTGGCTGAACTGCCAGCGCACAACATTGCACCATTGGTTGAGTTTCAAAGGCAAATCACGATGACTTCTAATCCACTTAGAGAAATAAGGATACATAATTGCTTCGCTAGAGGGACGGATTGCAAATGGGATTTCCACCTCAGACTCTCCTGTTTTTGTAACCCAGGCAAGCTGTAAGAAGTTTACAATGAAATAACCTTTATTATATGCTCCAGAGTTAGCCTTCCCATACCAGTCATTCTTGATTACCCTCACAAGCTCACGGAGATAAAAATACATAGTTAACTCTGAAATATGCAGTCTTACCACGGATTCAAACTGCTCCATGTGATCCTTTTGTTTTTGTTGATTGAGAGGAGCCACAAAAAGTGGGAAGTAGCAGTTCTTTATCTTCATTTTCTTAATTTCAGCATCAAAGAAGCCCTGCATTAATATACAACATTAGGCAATGCATTATTAAAATGTTGTTTCTGAAAATTAAATGACACAAAAATGCTAGGCTGAAAACTCACTTTTATAATATCCCAGATTGATATTGCACAAGGACGCAGCGTGAAAAGACCAGATATTTCATAATGTTCAATGATTTCACCTCTAGTAACCACCTATATTGTTGAAGAAAGAGAACGAAAAAATAATTTCAGATAATAGAAGCACTAATACTTGTCACTTGAACAAAATAGTAGACCATACTGCCATTGAATCCCATGGTTTTGATCAAAAATTGTCTAGGCCCATGTTATGTTATGGGGTTATTATTTGTTTCAGTAAGACAGCTCTAGGGTTTTCCTAGTGAATATAATTTGCAGCGCCACTTAAGTGCTGGAGGAGCAATAGGGGCATTGTGGCGGATCCTCAAGAATAAGGCACAAGTTCACCATGGGAAACATTTCTGCCATGTCTGACATGCAATTGTTGCCGCAATGTCTGGCATGCATTTTCTATTTTTGGCCATTGCTTGAGTGGCAGTTTGCGGGTAAATGAAGACCAAATGAATTGAATAGTTAAAGAGTTTCCTCTACTTAAGAAACATATTGGTTTTCTTATTGATTCCTACTCTCACTTGTATTGTAATTATAATTATAATATACTCCGTAATAATAATGTACATTTAGGATGTTTTTACTTGGACTGTAATTTGTCCCAGACCAGACCAGACCAGTCCAGACCAGACCAGTTCAGACCAGACCAGACTTGGATAGTTATAAAAATACAAAGAAACCGGACCTTACCAGACCAGACCAGTTCAGACCAGACCAGCAAATTACAGTCCAAGTAAAAACATCCTTATAAGACACGCACAAGCACACACTTCAATAAAGTTACTTTCATGAAATGAGTTTTTAATAAATTTAATGTTTTAACTTTTAATAAGCATGAATGATCTATGTGGTGTTTCACTATTTCTAGTACCCCCATACCATTCAACATTTCACTATTTCTAGTACCCCCATACCATTCAACCTTCTGGAGTTTAAGACACATTTTGTATGTGTACTCTTGACATCAATACTTTAATTAAATACATTAACACAAGCAGAATGTCCAGTGATTCTATTATAACTTCTAACAAATAGATATTGAAATGTATCCAATTTCAGCACTTACCTCAGAATACCATTCCCAAAAGCTTTCATCTTTTTTGTGTGTAAGACTGAACGCCGTCTCTTCTTTTACAATACTATCTTCCATCTCTGGAATACCTAAGGAAAAGAAAAACTTAAAAACATTAACAGTATGATAAGTCAAAGAAAGCTATTTCACATAAAATAGAGCATGACCCCTCACCGGGACATGAACTGCTTGGAGTTTGGTTGTCCATGGGGGAAATAATTCAGAAAATGTTCAAGCAAGGCAGCAAAAACATAATCAAGCCAGAATCACAATCACAAAAATCACACAAAATTTAAAAGGGTATGATCACTTGAGATTAAGCTTAGTACCTAGATACTTTAGCCACATGACCTATTTGAATTAACTTCTTTTTTAAACCTATGTTTGGTACATGACTTCAAATTAGCTTCTTTTTGGGAAAAAACATATCAATCTATCAATGAATATATAAAAGCGAAATATTTTGGTAGAGATCGCCTTATTTCAGATAAAACTTATTTCGATTTTACTGAATGCTAAAAGGACGGTAATACTGCAAAAACAGAGAAAGAACTTAAAGACCTGACCTGAAATAAACATATAAACATATATCTACAAATCAAAGATTGCCTTTTATAAATTCGAAGATATCTTTTGATGCCTTGGATGAAAGGACTATGGGTAGATATGAGGTATAAAACCCGTCAATTGAAGAGGAGAAAGGGAGGGCTGCAAGCGGAGAAAGGTAGATACTATGTCACATCCCTAAATCCCTAATGGAAGGGCTTAGGGATGTGACAGCGGATGACTGATCTGTCAGTAGGGCCGGTCTTGTCTGTTTGAAGGCTTAGGGGCAGAGAATTTAAAATGGGCTTAATCAAAAGAAATTGTATAACTCTTTTTTGCCTAAGCTAACATGGATAATAATAATAATAATAATAATAATAATAATATTTCAAGACCTTTATAGTAAAAAAAAAAGACTTAAATTCGCTCAATTAAACATAGTAGAATTGTGCTTTTAAAATATACAGTGTAAAAAACAACATTCTGAACCATTTCATTTTGGACAGCTAAACCAAGCATCTCCTCCAGTTTAGTATTCTCATTCAAACAATAAATTGATTGTAGAGTTGGTAATGCATCATCATGAGGAGAACATTCGGGATTTGACTTCTTCACATAAACAAAAAAAAAAAACATTGAACCTTTTTTAGTTTTTACTAAGGTGGATTTCTCTAATCAGCCATTTTATTACACCTTAAAATTAAATAAATTTATAAATTTAATAATAATTAAAAAAAATTGTAAAATCAATTACGACACTAACACAACTTACATATTTAATTACATATAGAAATTCCAAAAAATCAATAATAATCGCTTAAAGTTCAACAAATCAACAATTATGAAGTAATCAACTGATCACTTAATTAGCAACTACAAACCAACAAAATCACTACGAAACAAATCGAATCAATTAAGCAAGAAATCTAACTTATCATCAACACAAACACACACTAATCAACCCAAAACAATCAACAACTAGGATTCTATGAACCATTCAACCCTTAAACTAATACTCCCTCAGTGCCACTATAATTGTCTCATTTTGCCTTTTCGTATGTTCCACTAAATCTGTGGCATGCCATATTTGGTAATATTTGTGTTCTAATACATTTTTACTTTATTCTCACCGTAACAATTCATTATCAACGGCACCACTATCATATGTCCCAATCTTAGGGGGCGGGGGTAGTATGTAATAATCAATTTAAGAGTTAAATATCATATTAGCACAATACCAGAAAGCACTGAATTGAAGGTCGGGGGCGTGGGGGCTGCTAGTCTGGGATTCTGGGAACTGGGAAGGATGGGAAACGCAGGCGGCAAGTCCACTCAAAATGGGCAGGTCCGGGCACCGGTCGGGAGGCGGCCAAGCGTCGCGGGCTCGCAACCGTCGCTGTGTGGGCGTCGGGCGGCTTGGCGGTCGACGTTCCAACTTCCCTGTCACACTTTCGTCGGTGTCTGAATAGGCCTGCGAGCGTTTAGCACTTATGCATTGGGCTTCTGCGTCGGTAAGGTTAGCTGCATTTGGACGTTTCTTGGGCCGGGTAAAATGGTTAGATTAGGGCTCAAACTCCCTATTCATACCTATCACAAAAGGGTGATTCCAAACGCAGACACACATTTGCTATTTACGTCCCTCAATCACAAATGTGTTGAGGATCAACATCATTGTTAATGGAGAAATATTTTTGTCTTTTCATATGGGATTAGGGGTGCAAATAATGAATTTTTAAAAAACGTAGTGCAAAATCTAATTTAACAAATAAAATGGGGGTGGGGTGCAAACCAAGGTTGTTAAAATCTCGATTTAAATTGTAAAATCGTACGATTTTACGATTCTACAATAATAAATCGATTCAAATCGCAGGTAAAATCGTAAAATCATAAAATCGTACAAAATCGTACAAAAATCGTGTAGAATCGTATAAAATCGTATCAAAATCGTAGCAAAATCGGAATAAATTTTTTTTAGTGAAAATGGTTCAAATTTATTAAAATTAACTACTACAAATTGATACAAAATTTCAATAATAATAACATCAATGGTATATTTTTAAAAAGTAATGGATTCTTGTGTTATTTAATTATTTTTATGTTTTACATATGTTTAATGTTATTATCCACTCTATTTACAATATAAAAATAGTTTATAAATCTTGTTTTTGACCTTGTAGGTATAGTGGTATGTAATAAAATGACATAATACCATTAGCTTGCAACTTAATTTTAATATTTATTTATTTTATAATTATTAAAATATGTTTGATAAAATCTTACGATTTGCGATTCGATTTTACGATTCGATTTTCAAAAACATCTACCGATTCGATTCAAAAATACGATTTTAACAACCTTGGTGCAAACTCAAGTTACCTCAAATAATAAAACAGTGTCAAAATTATTAAAAATGTATGTCAAAATGCAACTTTTTTTTGAACGAAAACTAACCTCTATTCATATCATATAAGTTTCAGGATCATTACATCAATGAAAAGAAAAACAAAACTGACACCAACTAGACACCAACAACTACGACCGTAAACCCTATGGTCAAACTCAGAGACGGTCACCCCAGAAAGAGCAACACGAATCGCTAATCATGTACCGGGCTTGGCACAACCATCCCTGTCTCCAAAGATCCAAACATACCCAATGGCATGAATAAGGGCTAAAATCCCAAACAAACTGACACACCTAACAATATAGGCAATAACGAGAAACCAAAAGACAAAAAAATAAAGTCTCAACGGAGGAGGACAAAACATTAGAAAACTAAATAAGCAAAGTAAGAGTCTCGAACCCTAGCACCTCATGCAATTCCTGGCGGTGGTTCACGAGGAGGCCGGACCTTCGTCACTCATTGGATTACCTCTCTCGTGATCGCCCAGGAGTCGGAATCAGAAGCCCCATCATCATCTATTTGTAGGAGATCACCCACCTTCTCTTCCTCTCGGTCACAACCAACCTTACGTCTGTCGTCTGAAGTATCCTCCATCGCCTTGCTACCGCAGATGTCCAAGCCGCACAAAAACGACACCATAGCCGCGTCAATACCCAGCGCCGCACAAAGAGACTTCGTCGGCGAAATCCAAACCCTCAGCTCTCGCTAGGGTAAAACTCGCTCGATTGATGAAAATGATAGAATTAATCGGAGAGGGAACTAGCTGATCCAATCCTCATAAGGGGACTACGATCTGATTTTATTCATCCGACCCAGCGGCTATCGACCCTCCAACAGCAGGGAGATCCAACGGTGTTCTTTGGTGGGATGGCCGATCCCAGTGGCGCTAAGCAGCAGGGAGATCCAACAGATGAATCCAGACGGGAGAGATCGATAAGCCAGGCAGAGAAAATGCAACTTATTAACTAAAATTAACAATCCCATAAAAACAAAATTTATTTACTTATAAAGAAGTGTAGTGAACCAGACGAAGGTGGAATCGTGCAGTGGTGCAGGAGCAGACGACATCGCGATACTCGCCGATCATGATGAAGGTGGAAGGTTCGGGATCACAACAACTCAGGGCCTGTGGCGGTGATCGTATATGGGTGAACCAGATTCAGGAATCGAGTGGGACGTTTTGCTTGACGTGGCATAGAGAATCCCGGGTTTGGGTGATGGAGGAAGAAGGCGAAGAGTTGATGATTCGTCCTTCTCCTGAACCGCCACCATGGAGTAATAGTGCGACTAGGGTTTGGAAGATTGTTTTACTATTTCTCTTTTGTTATTTTCAGTCTAGTCTGTTTTACTAATTTTTTTTTTGTTATTTTTAGGTTAAACAATAAGAGGGTAGATTGATATTTTGGTTTATTTTAGCTGATAGATTTCTATTTTGAGGCAATCAGACTGACTCAACCACTAACAGCCTCTATGCTCTCACCGTTTCAGCGATTAGTCTCGCTCTATCCTGGGCAGACTATTCTATGTCTGATCATGACGTGGGAGTGATGTGCTTTTGGGATTGTTTGGGAAGAGGGAGATGTAGGTCTTGGACATGATTGTTGTTTTGGTTGTTTGAGTTTAATATATGCATTTTCCTTTCAAAAAAAGTGTAGTGAAACAATATAATCAAAATTTTAATAACCTGGAAATTTATCTACGATCTAATAAGCCTAAATGAGAGTTAGGGTATTGTGGGTATACAAAAATTGTTGGTGGTATTGTAAGCTTGGTTGACATGTACCACATATTGAAATGTTTGTAAATTTGTAACTACATAAAATGCCACTTGTTTTCGTCACTATGTCAGAAAATGCTCTCCGTTAGTATGCTCACAAGGCCACACCAGCTTCGGTCGTACAAGCAGATTTGCCTGCACAGGCGCACATCCCTCGTGCCTCGCATCCCTTCGTCTCCTTCAACTTCTCTCGTCTAAGTTTTGTTTTTAATTTGTTTAACTCTTCATTACTCTAGCATTTATGGGGCTGTTTAATTTCATTTTTGCTAACAATTCGATCTTTTCCTCTTCATTGGAAGTTATGGAAATCCAAAGGATACGCTCATAGTGAGTCTTTGAAGTCTTCTGTCGCATGTGACGGGTAAATATGAATCCCCATGTTTACTCTTTTCGTTCGTGAATTCATCAATCACAAATGTTTTTGACAATCGGGCTTAATTTTCAGATTGCAAATCCTCCGTAAATTAGGTTTATTTTAACCAATCTCTACCTCATCAATTAGGTTTTATTTTTGGAATATTTTAATAACTAACCTAAAAGTTTCACCTTCATAATTACATTTATATTTTAGCCTCTGCAAATCACCAAATGTTACCTGAAATCTATGCCGATGATGGAAGTTTACTGGTTGAATCAAGTTGTGGTGAATTTTGAGTGCCCTAATATTATGAAGATTCTCATTTAATATTGTAAGTAGAAAAGTTTTTTGTTTGGGATAAGGCACATGAGATACCATGAGAAGAAGTTTGAGATTTGACCGACCATTTGGATATTGTGATCTCATTCACGCAATATGTGAATGTTGAGCGATCAGTTTAATATAATTGTTGAATATTCAATTGTAATATATGTAATACTACATAAGTTGTTACTTGTTAGCTATTTCGATTGCATGTTTTGGGATTGACCATTGTATTCTCATGATTGCAGTACTCTCTATGTCTCTACATCTCTACAAACTTATAAATGTGAATGATGGTAGGGGGTTTTGGGTATGGAAAATGTGTTGGTGGTACACTAAGCTATATAAAATCGTATGTTATGGTTAGAGAGTTGTTCCTTTGATCATTACCCTTCCATTACCATGTAAACGCCGTTGCCGTGTATCACGGTCGTCTCTACGAAGCCTTCTCATTTTAACCGCCCCCTTCTCCATCTATTTACGTGCGCCCTTCTCCATTCCCAAATTTCTACATCACAATAAGTCAAATGGATTAGTTGATCAAGTGGAGTTCGTTTCTTGCTCTGGGTTTAGACAAATTCAATGGTCTGTAATTCTATTAATTCTTCATGTAATGCCCACCCTTGTTAATTTGCAGGTCCTGTTGGTAGCCTATACGCCAATAGGTGCGCCCTTCTCCATTCCCAAATTCCAGGGGAACATCGATGTTACCAACAGCTACGCAGGTCAAGATCTGATACGCCTTTTCCGACTTTATTTCTCAATTGTGGTTTGTTTTTGTTCATGAGCTTTGATGGTTGTAACTATTTAAATCGATTGGACAACTGGGATATCATTTAGCTAGGTCTCTTTGATGCTGAAAGCCCTAGGATGAGCTTACCAATTTAGGCTTATGTGTTAGAGGTGTAAGAATATTCATTTAGTATTTCTGGAGCAACCTTTTGGAGACTTTGTGTATATGAGATCAACCACTGAACCCTAATCACATGTATATTCGTTGAGGAGCTAATGGTATTGGTTGCCTTAAATTGTTGGATTATATTGCTTATTAATATGTTTATAGGCTTTTAAAGCCTATTGTTTTGATCTTGACATTGATGTACTGTTACATTTTCAACATCTGATTATGCTTTCAGTTCCCTTTGAAGAAGATGACAAGGACCCAAGCATCTGGTTCCTTGGCCATGACTACCACGGGTCAATGTTTTCCATGTTCCGTAGAATAAATGGTATCCGGCCTGTTCAACTTCTGAATGTATTAATGAAAAAGTTGCCTTTGACACACAGAAAGGCATTGTTAGTTAGATATGCAGCTTTTATTAGACCTGTAATATGATTATCTACGAACTGCATACGGGTACGATTTCAGCTATGTTCTCACTCCAGTCTTGGTTATTATTGATGTCCAGCCTAAAGAGTTTGGCATACCTACTTAAGCATAGTATGTTGTTGAGGAGGTCAAAGAGGTAATAACATAAACATGTTTACCTTCCTATTTGAGAGAGCAAATAAACTGATGAAAAAGATGCATTCTTTCAGTTTGTCAGTATGTGCAATTTATAGCTATCATTGTTTTTAAGATGCCTTATTGTTAAATGGTTGTACAAATATGCAGAGTGCAACTCAAAAGAGTTAGAAGGTCTTTGAACACGCCCCTTTAGAAATTGCTGGTCAT